CAAGGTGTCATGTCGAGCTACAAGGGTAGAGCTTTAGGTACGATTGGCCATTTAGGAGCTTTTTCATTTCACGAGACTAAAAATGTGATTTCAGGCGAAGGTGGCGCATTGCTTATTAATGACGAGCGTTTTATACAGCGCGCAGAAATCATTCGTGAAAAAGGCACTAATCGAAGCAGGTTTTTAAGAGGAGAAGTTGATAAATACACGTGGGTGGATATTGGTTCATCTTACTTACCTAGTGAAATTGTAGCAGCATTTTTATACGCACAACTTGAAGAAGCGGACAATATCACTAACATGCGCTTAGATGTTTGGTACAAATACCACCTCGCCTTGGCAAAGCATGAAGAACGCGGCTTGCTACGCCGCCCCATTGTGCCAGATGAATGCAAACAAAATGCGCATATGTACTATATTTTGTTGAACTCTTTTGAAGAAAGAGCTGCTGTAATGGAGCGACTAAAAACAAAAGATATTCAGCCAGTATCACATTATGTTCCTCTACATAGCGCACCAGCAGGACGCACATACGCGCGGCAGCATGGTGATTTACCTGTCACAGAAAGTCTATCTGACAGGTTACTGAGATTGCCATTATGGGTGGGCATGGATGAAGTGCAAAAAATATGTGACGCACTCTTTGAGTAACTAAAAAATGATGAGGGGTTTGTTACAAAAGTTTATACGCCACATGGCGCTCAAAAAAGGTCGTTTTAAAGGCCTTTATACCCAGCTTTGCCAGCCTAGTAATGAGGAGTTCGCGCTATTTATGAAAGTGCATGGTGGGCTACACGCGCTTGGCGAAGGCTGCCGAATTAACCAAGATGTGGTCATTACCGACCCTGCCTATGTTTCAATTGGGAATAATGTAACCCTTTCTAACTGTCACCTGATTGGTCATGATGGCGTGGTAGGTGTCCTTAACACAGCTTACAATATGAAGCTAGATTCCGTAGGTAAAATTGTAATTAAAAACCATGTGTTTATTGGATATGGGGCGATTATTTTGCCCAATGTCACCATTGGCAATCATGTAGTCGTTGCAGCAGGTGCAGTCGTCAATAAAGATGTACCAGACGGTGTAATTGTGGGTGGCGTGCCCGCAAAGATTATTGGTAAAACTGATGAGCTAGCCAAAAAACTTCAAGTAGAAACAGCTATGTTACCTTGGGCTGAGATTATTAATCTGCGAAATGGTGCATTTGACCCCGCGTTAGAGCCACAACTAACTGCTTTACGAGTTAAATATTTCTACCCTGAAGAAAATTGCCTCTAAATTAAGCTGAAGTTTTAAGTGTTGCTACCTATTAAATATTGAAATTAACATTGTATGAATAAAATAGTAAAAAAAATTGGGGGGATGTTGGCTAAAGATGGTTTAGCTGCAACATTATTTTATTTACATAAGCGTAGTAAAGGTAGGCGCATTGATATTTTTCAGGCCTACGATTACATACCCTATCAGCCTTTCGGCGCACCATATGTAGCTAATCAAACGAATAGCAAAAATATCAACTGGGTGGTACCAGACTTTAATATTGGATCTGGTGGGCACCTAAATATGTTCCGCCTGATGTATTTATTAGAAAAATTAGGCTTTAAGAATCAAATTTTGCTCATACAAAGTAAATTTGAATCGGCAGAAACTGCCAGACAAATTATCCGTGAGCATTTTTACCCGATTGAAGCCACTGTCACCCTCGACAAAAATGCACTAAAACCAGCCGCAATCACAGTGGCAACCAATTGGATTTCAGCTTACTTTGTGCGTAACTTTCAAAGCACACATTATCGTTGTTATTTTGTGCAAGATTACGAACCTTTCTTCTACCCTCGGGGCAGTGAATATATGTTTGCCGAAGCTACCTATCGTTTTGGCTTTTACGGTATTACTGCTGGAGATTGGCTTGCTTACAAGTTAAAGCACGAACATGCCATGCAAACCTTAGGCATGGGGTTTTCTTACGATAGAGATTTATATCGTCCATATCCTCGAGATAATAAACAAGACAAGAAAGTGTTTTTCTACGCCCGTCCAGCAACTGAGCGACGCGGATTTGAGCTTGGCTTACTCACTTTAAGTCTGGTCGCCAAGCAAATGCCAGAAGTTACCTTTGTGTTAGCGGGAGGCGATTTATCAAAATATGACATACCATTTAAACACTATAGCCCTGGTAATGTGGCGGTTAAGAACTTACCAGAACTTTATAGTCAGTGCGATGTAGCGCTTGTTTTATCTCTCACTGATCTTTCACTTTTACCTGTTGAGTTAATGGCTTGCGGTTGTTCGGTGGTGAGTAATCAAGGTGACAACGTGGAATGGCTACTCAACAAAGACAATGCTGTTTTAGCTGAGGCCACACCTGAAGCACTGAGTGAAAGCATTATTAATTTATTAAAAAATGATGATAAACGTCAACAGTTAATTACATCAGGCTTGGCATTTTCTGCAAATACCCGTTGGGATACTGAAGCTGAAAAAGTGGCAACATTCTTTGAAAGTTTGTTGCAAAAATAATGCCTCTGGAAGCTGCGTGGATATTGGCTTACAGAGGCATCAATATGATATGTGCTAATTCTTAGCTCAATTATGCACTTTTTTCACTTACAAAATGCCATGCACTTTTAAGCGGAAAAATAGCTAAATTAGATATAGTGCAAACTTCTAAACACATAAAATGTAACAACGGCAAAAAATGCCAAGAATGGTAGATCTATAGCTGGCTGCCACAGGCCTGCTTTTTTATGCATAACATAGGCCTGCACTGGATAAACAAGCCAATAAATCCCAGCTAAGGCTATAATCACGCCTTTATCACCATAAAAATGTTGCGCGATAAAAATTGCCAAAATCTGTAAAACTATCTGTACCGCTTGTATCTCAGTAGAGGCACGCACTTCACCCTTGGCAAAAAGTACCCCAGTATATGAACCAACTACCACAGCTGCTAATGAGCCCAAGCCTAAAATTTGCAGCATTATGCCTGTTTCCTTATAGCGTTCATCGTAAATCAACCACATAAACTGATCTCCAAAGAAGCTGAAAAACAAAGCAACCAAACCACCTGACACTATCATGCCTAAGCGTGCTTTGGTGAGTAATTTTTGCATATCTTCTGGGTGATTACGCAACACTTCAGCGTATGCTGGAAATAATGTTCTCACTGATAGTACTAACATCGCTTGCCAAAATATTAGGCTCATGGTGCTGGCCAGCGTATAAAAGGCCAGCATTTTGACGCTTAAAAATTTAGCCACAAATAGCTTAGTGCCCTCTCCTGCTAAAAAAGTCATGCTAGAACTTACAAATATCCAGCTACCAAATCCAAACAACGCTTTTAGAGAGGCTTTATCCCAAGCAAAACGATTATGCATACCTGGTAAACAATAATGACTCGCAAGCATTTTAACAATACCGCCTACCAGCATACCCCAAACTAATGCCCATACGGCTTCATTTTCTGGACTGTGCCAAGTGTATTTATGCATCCACGCGAGCCAAACTGTGATGATTAAGCTTACAACATAGCTCAATAGCTCGATTAGTGTCGCTTTGCCCATTTGTAAATCACGGTTGGCTGAAGCTAATTTGGTTGAGTTAAAGCCAGCAATAATTGCACTTATACCAACCACGGGCAATAATGTTGCCAGCATTGGCTGCTGGTAAAATGCTGCAAAATAAGGCGCCGAAATAAGCACTACTAAAAAAATTAATATGCCTTGAATGACTTGTAGCGTCCAAGCTGTATTTAAAAAAGTGGCTTCATGCCCTCTTTCATTTTGCACGATGCTAGGCTGAATTCCTAAATCTGACATCATAATCAAACCCATCATCACCGTTTGAATAATCGCCATCAAGCCAAATGCTTCAGGAAACAATAATCTCGTCAGAATTAAATTGGAGGCGAGACGTAAAATTTGCTGCAAACCATAGCCAGCTGTGACCCAAATACCCGAGTTAATGGCTTTCTTTTGAAGCGTTTTAGCTTTAGTTTGGATCATGTTTTTAAAGGTTACTTAATATTAAGATTGCATCTGATTAAACTTCGCCATAAATGCAGCCTAAACGGGCTATTTTCAATGGTAATAATTAACACTATGATGTTCGTTCTGTAAAACTTGACGCCATTATGCCAGAACAACTAAGAACTCTTACATACATTGTAATACTAGCGCTGATTGCTTTCTTCTTTGCGAAAAAAATCACTGCAGATGTGGTTAATGAGCAACAGTTTAATCGCTGGCGTAATACGTGGATCGCCCTGACCTTTATTGTGTTTTTGGCTGGTAACTTTTGGGTCTATGCCATTTTAAGTGCTTTATTATTGTGGTTTGCAAACAAAAAGGAGCAAAACGCTTTTGCGTTTTTCATCGTACTATTATTCGCTATTCCCAGAATTAGTGACAAAATTTCCGGCTTAGGGGTTATCAACTTTCTATTTGAAGTCGATTACATCACCATATTATCACTAACAGTATTACTGCCTAGCTATTTATCATTACGTGCAAAACGAGATACAGTGCCATTTCTTAGCTTATGGCCCGATAGACTTATACTCGCCTATATGATTCTGGTAGTAGTATTACTCATGCGTGACACCACAGCTACAGATGCCATGCGTATGGTAATACGTAACTTTACCGATATTTTCTTACCCTATTATGTGGCGAGCCGTGGAATAAAAACGCTACAACAATTTAAAGAGGTGTTAGCCGCATTTGTGATTGCGGCCATGGTAGCTGCAATGCTAGCAATGTTTGAGTATAGCCGTTTTTTGTTGCTGTATGTTAATCTCAAAAACCACCTAGGCGTTGCTTGGGAAATGGGCGGTTATCTTGGGCGCGGCGATAGTCTAAGATCTGTGGCAACTTTAGGTCAGCCCATCATCTTAGGCTTTGTCATGATGTTAGCGATTGGGTTCTATTTTTCAATATCCAAATTTGTAAAGTCCCGAAGCTTACGATGGTTGGGTTGGGGGTTATTGTTAGCGGGTCTTTATGTACCACTTTCTCGTGGACCATGGGTAGGTACGGCGTTGTTGATTATCGTATTTTTGTTACTGAACCCTAATAGAATCAAAAATCTTTCTAAGCTAGTAATCGCATCTATTCTTTCATTTTTATTACTCAATGTTATTCCTGCAGGTCAAAGAATCATTGATTTACTCCCTTTTATAGGAAGTACAGAAGCTGAAAATGTAGATTACCGCGTACGCCTGATTGATGCTGCATATATAGTTTTTCAACGCTATCCACTATTTGGTTCTGTCAAGTTTTATGATGAACTAGCCCAGCTTGGTATGACTCAAGGTGAAGGTATTGTAGATATTGTAAATCAATATTTATGGATAGTTCTTGAAAGAGGACTGGTAGGCTTAATGCTGTTTGTTGGTTTTTTTACCATTATCATTTTTCAACTAGTCATTCATTTAAAGCAAGCTGAAAAAGAAGATACTGACACTTTCTCACCATTGCTTGGACGTAGTTTACTTGCATGCTTAATCGCTACAATGGTTACCATTACTACAGTGAGCGGTATACTAGTGTTACCAGTCGTTTATTGGGCACTTGGTGGTTTAGGTGTTAGATACTACCAAATGATAGAGCAGTTAGCTGTCAGAAAACATGAGCAAGAGTTTAAATCTTATAGACATGCGTTTGACGTAATGCCCGCGCTACCAGCAAGCAAAATTGTATTTAGTGCACTGACGAAACACAAAGTGGTGATTGATAATAAGCCTATACCGCGTATCAAATTCAATGTAAATAAAAATGCTGGTGAAAACAACATTCGAAAAATGATTGCGACAGTGTCCAAAGAAGTTAGACCCAATAAATATCCAAAACCAGAACTTGACAACTTATACCTACAAGCCAGAAAGATCAGGCCGAACCCTGTGGGATACTTTGAAAAAACCTTACAGTTACCACCAAAAGCCAAAGCTCAAAGTAATGGAACAACGATAAATATCGTAGGTAAAATTAGAGTCTTGAGCGGCTCAAATGCAGGGAAAGAACTCGAGTTAACCAAAGTAATTACTAAATTAGGCAAATCAAATATCCAAGTTGCCATTATTGCAAAGCGCGAAAATGGCTACTACATTAAGCATTTGGAAGGTAAGGTTTATCCAATAATTAACAACACGCAAATAGGTGAGCGTGCCCAACTAATAAGCGACCAAGATGTGATAGAAATTTTGGGGGTAAAAATGCAGTTTTATAGATATGAAAAGCGCCCAAGTTCTGAAAATTAACTGATTTGAATTTTATGATTATTAATAAGATTGGTAGAATGTAGGTGTACTTATCGAAAATATTTTTAATTTTAAAAAAACCATTTCGCGTCATATCTAGCTAGATTGATGAAACCCATTTTCTAATCTTTACATACAAGAGCAACTATGCCAGAACATATAAGATCTCTCGCCTACATTGTACTATTAGCGCTGATTGCTTTCTTCTTTGCGAAAAAAATCACAGCTTCAGTGGTAAGTGAACAACAGTTTAATCGTTGGCGTAATACCTGGATAGCGCTGACCTTTATTGTGTTTTTGGCTGGTAACTTTTGGGTGTATGCCATTTTAAGTGCTTTGCTTCTGTGGTTTGTAGGTAAAAGAGAGCGAAATGCTTTTGCACTGTTTTTTGTCTTGTTGTTTGCTGTGCCACGCATTAGCAATCCAATTCCGGGTATGGGCATCGTCAATTTTCTATTTAATATTGATTATGTCAGCATTTTATCCCTGACTGTTTTGCTACCCGCGTATTTATCATTACGCAGTGAGCGTGATACAGCCCCTTTCTTATCTTATTGGGCCGATCGGTTATTGCTAGCCTATATGGTGTTAGATATGGCTTTACTGATGCGCGATACCACAGTAACCGATGCCATGCGGGCTGGGGTATCTAGTTTTACCGATATTTTCTTACCATATTATGTAGCGAGCCGTGGAATTAAAACACTACAACAATTTAAAGAAGTGCTAGCGGCCTTTGTGATTGCAGCCATGGTGGCGGCTATGCTGGCGATGTTTGAGTATAGTCGTTTTTGGTTGTTGTATGCCAACCTCAAAAACCACTTAGGTGTCGTTTGGGAAATGGGTGGCTATCTTGGCCGAGGGGATAGTCTAAGAGCGCTGGCAAGTTTGGGTCAGCCAATTGCACTAGGCTATATTATGGTGATAGCTTTAGGTTTTTATATATTTTTATCCCACTTGATTAAAGATAAACGGCTTAAAATTTTGGGTGCGCTCATCATATTAGGCGGGTTATACGCACCTCTTTCACGCGGCCCTTGGATAGGTGCAATATTATTGGTACTTATGTATATTGTTTTTAGCCCAAAAGCCATTAAAAGATTAACTGCACTAGGAATAGCTACCATAATCGCTATCCCAATTATTGCGAGTATGCCAATAGGTAAAAAAGTGTTCAATATGCTTCCGTTTGTAGGTAAAGTGGATGCTGAAAATGTTGACTATCGTGTTCGGCTACTTGATGCTGCATACACGGTATTTAATCGCTATCCTTTTTTTGGCTCGGTTAAATATCGTGACGAGTTGGCAGACTTGGGCATGGTGCAAGGCGAAGGTATTGTTGATGTAGTGAACACCTATCTTGACGTGGTTTTAGAGTATGGTCTAGTGGGACTGGCTTTATATTTGGGCTTTTTTGCAATCACCATTTTTACTATTATCTCTGGTATTACAAGAATTCAAGACAAACAAAGCGACATTCATCTATTAGGTCGAGTGCTTCTCGCGAATCAAATTGCCATATTAATTACTATTACCTCAGTCAGTAGTATTTTAGTGATTCCAGTCATCTATTGGGCGGTGGCCGGCCTTGCTTTTTCATACTTACTTATTGCTAAAGGCGTCACTATAGTTAAAGTTGATGTCCAAGCACTGCCCATTACTAGGTTAGCTAGCAAAGGTTGACATATGAAATACTTTAAAATACTGAGTAAATCTTTACACTTAATTGGCTTACTAATAATAAATATAGTTCAAGCTGCCCCAATATGGCAAGTGAGCCTAGATGATACGGCAGGATTACCTATTCTAAGTAAAGGGGGTGGGAGTGCCCTAAGTTCCTCTTTTATATTCTTTGACAAAAACCACGTATGGGCGCACCAAGAGACCAACTTTAAAGTCAACAATCAAGGGCAATATCAACTAAAAGGGCATAATCCAACACTAGGCTTTACCCTCAACGCCACCATAGAAAAAATAAGTACAGTAAAAGTAAATAGTGATAAAACAAATAGTCAAAAATTGGTCTGGAATTTTGATTTAGACGCTAAAGCTGGTAGAAAAGATGTGGTTGGTGGTGGTATCACTTTCAAGTTTGACTTGGAAAACTTTAGTCAATCGCTAGGAAGCCCTGAGATTTTGGCTGATAAGTCTGGCTGGGCTTGGGGAAAAGATAAACAGCGTATAGAAATGCGCTTTAACCCTGCCCCAGCCAATATTTTTTATGAGCGTGATCAAAAAAATGAAATTCGTGCTTATTTTTACGAAGGTAACATCCCCAAAGGCAAACGCCAGTATCAAGCCACATTAACTCTTGCGGATAATATCAGTATTGCCCCAACGGTGAGTGAACGATTCGGTAGCTCAGATATGTCAAAATGGACTCCTAATATCATAGACTGGAAAACATCCCCTGTTGATTTATCTTTTTTAAATGCTGCAGAACGACCAGCAGGCAAACGCGGTTTTGTAAAGGCTAAGGGCGAACAATTAGTATTTGAAGATGGCACAGTGGCGAGATTTTGGGGCACTAATATCAGTGCTTTCACCATTTTTGGCACACCTAAAGATAATGTTAAATTGCAAGCCAAGCGCTTATCTGAGCTAGGTTTTAATTTAGTTCGCATCCATCACTTTGATTCACTATGGGTCAACCCCAATATTTTTGGTCAACAATCAAGTAGCACTCAAAAAATTAATGAAGACGCGATGGAAAAAGTAGATTGGTGGATTAAATGCCTGAAAGATGAGGGTATTTATGTCTGGCTAGATTTACATGTAGAGCGACATCTAAAATCAGATGATGCCATCACCAATTTTGATGAAATCGCTAAAGGTAATGACAGTGTAGATTTAAAAGGCTATAACTATGTTAACCCTAGCATTGTAAAGGCGATGCAGACTTTCAATGAAGCCTATGTTAGCCATGTCAACCCCTATACCAAAACTCGCTTAGCAGATGAGCCTGCGATTGCAGCTATGCTAATCACCAATGAGAACGATGTTACAAACCACTTCGGAAATATTTTATTAGCCGATAAAAATGTACCTGAGCATAGCAAGCGTTATATGGCCGCAGCTGAGCAGTTTGCCAAAGCACATCTTTTACCAGTTGAGACAACCTGGCAATCTTGGGAACACGGCCCATCTAAAGTGTTTTTAAATCATTTAGAACACCAATTCAATACTCAGATGACCGAGCATCTGCGCAGTTTAGGCGTTAAAGTGCCACTGGTCACTACTAGCACTTGGGGCAATAATCCACTCAGCGCATTACCAGCATTGAGTGCTGGCGATATGATAGACGCACATGCCTATCAACCCTATGGCGCACTTGAAAAAAACCCAGTGTATAGTCCAAATTTAATTCATTGGTTATCAGCGGCACAAGTGGTTGGTAAACCAATGAGCGTGACTGAATGGAACGCAGAACCATTCCCTCTACCTGACAGGCACAATTTACCTATGCTGATGGCAAGCCAGGCCAGTAGCCAAGGTTGGGATGCAATGATGCAATATGCCTATTCCCAAGAACCACTCTCAATGCCTACGCAATGGCAAGGCAGACCCTCCAATTGGCATGCCTATAATGACCCTGCCTTGTTAGCCACCATGCCTGCTGCAGCCTTATTGTACAGACGACAAGATATTCCAGAAGCCAAAACGACTTACATACTAAAACTAGATAACAAACTATTTGACCAATTCATTTCTCCGGATAACTCATCTTTTATTCGCACGGCATCAGAGATTGGCAAGTTACAAATTGCGATGCCCAGTCACAAAGCGCTGCCTTGGTTGGTGAAAAGTGAGATTTCTGGTGAAAATAAAGTCTATACAGACCCCAATAAATCACTTTTGCCTGTAGATAGCAAATCCGCAGGCAATCAAACTGCCACCATGATGCGAAATTGGGATAAAGGCTATCAGGTGATTAATACTGCACGCACACAAGCTGCGACAGGCTGGATAGGCGGCGAGCAATTTAAACTTAATGATGTGGAAATTGTAGCAACGACTAAAAATGCAAGTGTTATAGTACAAAGCTTAGATGACAATCCCATCGCAGAATCTAAAAAAATATTGATTAGCTTGGCAGCTCGTTCTGTACCAAAAGTAGCTGATAAGCTTCCATTTTATTCAGAACCTGTGGAAGGATTTCTAAAAATTAAGGCTGCTATTGGTTTGAATTTATTCAAACAAGGCGTCTATGAAAAAGGTAAAGCCGTAAAATTCACCTATCAAGATGGCTATTACGTTATTCCCTTGAATCAAGATTTACAGACGTATTGGTTAATATTGAGCATGTAATTTAGCAACTAGACTAGCGTGATGGACTTAAAGATATTCCTTAAAACTACATATTTTTCAACATCTTCTTTTCGATGCTCTGCAAGCCAGTATCCATGCGGCTTTCAGAGCATTTATTTTTTATCGTGTATTTTCTTACAATTTAACTAAGTGATCTGCTAGGCCAAGTGTCATCATCAACAAAGTTAAAGTGGGGTTACATCCGCCGCCCGTTGGGTAAACGCTAGCCCCAGCGATATACAAATTATCAATACCGTGTACCTTCTGATTGGCATCCACTACACCATTTTTAGGATCAACTGACATGCGCGTTGTCCCCAATTGATGGCAATGATGTCCATAATCAGGAATCGGGATGTTATCATCTAAGATGAAGTCTTTTAATTTGACTCGCGCAACTTTAGTACGGGCTAATTCTTTGGCAATTTCACGCCCTAAATGGCGAATGGTCACATCATCAGTTGGACTAGCTTGCCAATTGAGAGTGACTCGTCTTAAGCCAAAATGGTCTTTTTCATCATTGAGCGTAATACGGCTATTCATATTTGGCACTTGCTCAATTAAGCTGGTAATAACCCCATCACCTTGACAATCAAACTCTGCAAACTTTCTCGCAACATTGGTCATGGTGTCAGACTCGCAGACAAACTCACGCGCTGTTCTTTTAAGCTCTTTAAATCTACCAAAGTCGCGCGCTTGCATATTGGAGTCAAAATCAATCACCGCGTTACCTATTCCAAACTTGCGCATAAAAGCATCTGTTGGATTAAACTGTAAATCAGGCTCTTTAAACAATGCAGTATCTTCCACCACAAAACTACCATAATTGACGTTAAAGTGTTCCATAAAGCAACGCCCTACCATGTCATATTGGTTGCCTATACCTTTTGGTAACTGCTTATTAAAATTAAGCAGTAACTTCGCAACTTCTGATGCTCCTGTAGCCATAATATAGTGCTTGGCAGTCAATTTTTGTATTTGACCGTGATAATTCTTGACTTCGAAATGGCTAACCGCATTCAGGCTGTCATGCAAACGTATGTCTGATAGATTTGCATTGATATACATGTCAACTTTATCAGAACGCTTTAATTCATCAATATATTTGGTTCGAAAGCGCGTTGGTGGGCTAAATGCTCGTTCAGACAATCTAAAAAGATTTCCTTTCCAGTGGCTTTTTGGTAACTCTTTAAAACTATCTCTAGGAACATCCACAATTTCACAGGCATCTTCTAAATACCTAAACATTTTTTCATGGCTTCCCGCTGGCCACCCAGACATACCGCCAAAAATCTCACGCTGCTCGAAATCAATTTTATCAAAAAATGAGCAACGCCCGCCCCAATGGTTTGAGGTACCACCAAAATAGCGTAAACGGCAATTCGTGATAGCTTCCCAATTATTTAAGCCTAAACTTTGCCCACGATAAATGCCTTGAGATTTCTCAGTATATTCAAGTGCACCACCTTCAAGTAGTAAAACAGACTTTCCCAAGTTGGCTAATTTTCTAGCCAAAGTAATACCTGCTGGGCCTGCCCCGCAAATACAAAAGTCAAAGTTTTTATTTGGAATGCTATTATTGACGGTGTTTAAGTCTATCAACATCTATTTAGCTTTCAGTTGCCAATAAGTCGCTTTTTAGCAGCGTCCACCCATCAACAATAATATACTCAGCATCATGACTTTCAAATGCATTTGTATTTTTTTGAATTGTTGTACTAGTTTGAAATAAACTATCCATTAGAAGCGGTTGAGAAAGTGCCGCTATTAAGAAGCCTCTTCTATTTATCATACTTATTTGCTTGTTTAGTTTGAAACTAGCTTAAATACTAACAAATCATTCATAGTAATAGGGTTGTGCTTTTGCCTCTGATTTATTTACGACAACACCCAAAATATTTGATTTTGTCAGCAGGCGCATAGTGTCTGAAATCTCCGCTTCTGTATGCTGTCCGTCCCCTATTACAAGCAATACACAATCCACCTGGGGTAGTAAAACCATCGCGTCATCTGCACTCAAAATTGGAGGTAAATCAAAAATCACCACTCTTGAATCATAACGCTCTTTAAGGTCAACAACTAAATGCTGAATTGTATTAGATGACAATGTTTCAGATGATTGCTTTACAGGAGAGTTAGTTGGAATGACCGTCAATCTTGGGATGCCTGGATTCACCATGACCTCAGCTAAGTCAGCGTTACCTGAGAGAAGGTCATTAATAGACTTTGGTTGTTTTAAACCCAAATATTGTGCAATTCTGGGTTTTCGTAAATCAAAATCAACTAGCATTGCGGTTTTTTGAGGCTGTTGAGCAATACTTATGGCCAAGTTGATTGCTACAACTGTCTTACCTGCAGCTGGAGAAGGAGAAATAATAGCTAAAGTGCGCCACTTATTTTCTTCCATTGTTTGTAGCACTTGAGTTCGTAAAGAATCGAAAATCCAGCTAGATGGATCATGCTTGTTTTGAGCAACAATACGATTTTTTTCTAGATGAGCAGCATCTAATTTTACAACCGCCGTTTCACTATATACGATAGATTTGAGCTCATCATCCAACTGCATAAATTTTACAGCTTTTTTTGGCTGATTAAGTCTTTGACTACCTTGGGAGTGTCTAGCTTTACTTAAAGCATCTTTAATTTTTTCCATACTTCACTTTCACCTAGAACTTAGCAGTTAGTTTTGTCAGTAAATCACCAAGAGGCATCACAAATAAATGTACCAATATTAATGCTGCAAGCAATGCCAAAGCAACAGCAATCAATTTGGAAACAAGTACTCTCTCTTTCTGAGCCTCTTCTGCTGGATTCTTGATATATGGGATTGTTGCTATCGGTTGCATTTTCATAATCGCCGCTAGAGAATCAACTCCCCTAATTCGACTATCAAGCATCTCTAACAATATTGCCGAACCGATTGCGGCTACTATAGACCCAAACAAACCAGCTAAAATAAGTAGCAGGCGGTTAGGTTTGATTGGCCTTTCAGGCAAGATAGGTGCTTCGCTTACGACAAAGCGTTCGCCCTTATTTTCCATTTCAATATTTTTAGCAATCTTTGCGTTGTCTTGCTTAGTTTTTAAATCCGCATAAGCAGTTTTAGCATTTTCATAATCGCGAAGCAAAGTGCCCAATTCGCCCTCTGTTTGAGCCGATTGAACGACACGACCCTCAATCTGTGCCATTTTTTTACGTATAGTGCCTTCTTGTCTCTCAAGCAGGTTTAATTTTGCATTACCACTTTCAATTTGAGCCTGTATCTTAGCAATCATGACCGATTGAGCCGTGACCTTCTTTTCTGGTTTTTCAGCATTAGGTTTGCTATTTTCTGAATTTTCTAGGGTTTCAATTCTGCGCTTTAGTGAACGAACTGTTGGGTGATTTTCACTATAAACACCGTCTAGCTTTTCCAACTCTTGTTTTAATTTTGCAAGTTCAGTAGCACTATCTACAGCAACAGGTGCAGCACCAGGTTCTAAGCCAACATTGATGCCAATACCAGCCTTAGCAGACTCTAAACTCACATCTAGCGCCCTCAACTCTGCTTGTGTCGTGCTATATTGTCTTTGCGTATCTCGTAAATCGAGTTCTAGTCTATCCAAACTCTCCAAATGCATTTCTTTATGTTCAGGTAGAGAGTTGGCGTGATTTTGTTTATATGTAGTAATCTCTTTTTCTATTTTCAGCAATGTCACTTTTTGTTTTTCAGCTTCATTTGCAAAAAACTCTGCTGTTTCATTAGCACGTAACTTACCAGCTTTATCATTTTCCTCTAAAAATAGCTTTACGATATCATTAGTAACGTTGTAAACCTCTTCTGGTTTGTGATACACATAAGAAATCTGTACAGCAACAGTTGGCTTACCTTGCCATGCTTCAGCTTCAGCCTTTAGTAAATCGGCTTTAATATTAGCACGCAATGCAGAAGCCACCTCAATTGCTGGCCTTTGAACTTTGTCTAGCCCATATAATTTATATTTATCAGCAATTTTGAACAATTTCTCATTGGTCATCGCCACCTGCTTTAAAGCCTCAAAGCGTTCAGATGCAAACTTCTCCTTAGCATTTGGATCTCCTGATTGCACCTGCTCAGACTCAATTAGAATGGTCGCGCCTGCTTGGTAAACTGCTGGAATTTTTAACGCCACGGCAATAGACACTAAAAACATCAGAACAAACACACCAATTACTAGAGGAAGTCTGCGTTTGATGACACCAATGTAGTCACCTAACGACATTTCACGTTTTATAGCCATAAACTTATACTGCCTTTATTATTTTGAAATATACTAAAAATTGAGCGTATCAAACACAAAAGTGACGCCAACAATATTGTTTTTTGGTTTGCTATCTGCAAAATCTAGCCATATACGATTTGCATAGAGGCGAGCTGTCCAGTGTTCTGATATATTGCGGGCATAAAACACACCCAATGATTGCGCAGTAAGCTTATCGACTGCTAAGTCTCTGTCTCTTTTGAACTGATCATAAGTATAATCTGCTCCCACTCGATCAAGCTCAGTCAAACCGTACTGTGCTCCTAGCTTAGCTGTGTCAACTAACCTATAACCCAATCCAGCCATATTATTTATATTACGAGCAACAGATGCTGAGTAAACAATTTTTGTGGTGTTATAGTCTGCTTGCAGACCTCCTACTACACCAGAGTCATCTTGCCGTCCAGACAAATCATATACACCCGCACGAGAAACAATCGTAATATCTTCACTGACTTGATAGCTTGCACCTACACCTGCAGTTGCTAAATAACTATTTCTATTTAAACTAGGATCATATTGCGAATAACCAACATAAGCATTTGTTGTTAGCTTTTCTGTATTTTCATAAGAAAGCTTAGATTGAATATTTACTAATTTAAAATCATCCAGAATACCCACTCTACTATAGTCAACATCACTATAAGCAGCCTCAGTAAGCACCAGCCACCTTGGAGCAATACGATGTTGCCAATTAGCCCCTAAGGATTTAGTTTTTTGTATATTATCAAAATTAGTAAATGTACCCGCAGCATTTAATTCCGCAGCACGCGCTATTACTTCATCATAACCAGCTTTAATACCATAAAAGCCTGATTCATAGCTTCTGTTCCAACCTGCAGATAATTGAGGGTTTTCTTGGTTTACTACGGATTTTTCATTGGAGTTCCTAATTACTTGCAAACCAGCATCTACATACCAATGGTTAACTTCATCTCTCATATCCACTAGTAGCCGTGGTAACAAAGAGTATATCCAGACTGGATTTTTTTGGCCTAATGATAACTGTGGGTTTGCGTTATGCTCAGCCCCAGCAGATACAATTATTTTCTTTTCTACATCTAAGGCGGAAGCATTTGCTACAAATAAAAGACTCGTTGCTATCAAAGTATTAAGTACGTAACTTTTTTTAGCAAATTTGTTGTTGTGAATTAGATTATTAGTTTTCATAACAAGCCCCTGAGTACAGTCAAAAATTAATGTTGACATTATACTCAGAATTAAGACGAATTAGTAATGAAAACATGTAACTTGTTGTTATTATGGTACAAGTATCGTGTCACCTGGCATAAGTATAATATTACTTTCTAGGCGATCACCCTTAATGAGTTGATCATAATGTATAGGAATTGTTTTTTGTCCTTGAGATGTCACTCTAAGCACTTTAATTGCACTACGGTCAGCAAACTTATCTAAACCACCAGCCATGCTTATAGCGTTAAGCACTGTCATTGGTCCCGTCATTAAGACTTGACCTGGCTTCAACACTTTGCCCAAAACGTGCGCTGCGTTACCCTCAATCTTTGCAATTACAACAGACACTTGTGGATCTGGTAGGTAAGTTTTTAATTTTTCAGCGATTTTTTTCTCTGCTTCTGTTGAGGTTAAACCAATAACCTCAACACGACCAGCAAGCGGATAAGTGATACTACCGTCTGGCAGTACCAAGCTTTCTTTTTGCATTTTATCTTCGCCCCAAACAGAAATTTGAATTAAATCGCCGTGTCGCAATTTATAACTTTGTGGAACATCTGTAGCATGTGCTACAGATATAGCCACAGTAAAAATTTGTACCATCACTAACCACAATATTGATTTTAAACTCACTTTATACTTCCTTTCAAAAAAACTTAAAAAATTCACAATTAAACATTGCGACGATTAGATAACGCAATGAAGCCTAATAAAGATAACAATAAAACGGAAGCTTGCGTTGAATTTTCATTTACCTGTAAAACAGCCGACTCTTCCGTATTTTTTTTAGATAAAATTTCATAGCTTTCAATATTTTTTACTGTTGCGTTTTCACTACCATCATCTATTCTAGCCATTTCATCCTCCATTATAACCACAGTCTGATCTGTTGATGCAAACGCAGTCATAGAAGACAATATTAAGTTACCTAGAAACACGAGACCGTAAATAATTTTTAACATTTAATATGCCCCTCAATTGAATAGTCACTCATCTATTAATATGGTGTCTATTCTATGAACTGCATCTAAAGCTAACAATAGCCCATAAGGGTCATCAGCAAAAAAACTATTAAAGATTAAATCTATTATATTTTAATAATCAATAGGTTAATATCCATAAGAGTTTAAAGTGTTAAAGGAAATTAAGGTAATTATTTCTTATTTTTTAAATTCGCGGCAATTCGCATCCTCAACGCATTTAATTTAATAAAGCCGCCTGCATCTTTTTGGTCATAAGCGCCTTTGTCATCTTCAAAAGTGGCAATGGATGAATCAAATAATGAATCTGTTTTACTATCACGGCTCGTTACAATCACATTGCCTTTATATAATTTGACGCGCACCCAGCCATTTACTGATTTTTGTGTATGGTCAATTAAGGTTTGCAATGCAATACGTTCTGGACTCCACCAGTAGCCGTTATAAATCATGCTAGCGTAACGCGGCATGAGGTCGTCTTTTAAGTGTGCCACTTCGCGGTCAAGGGTGATACTTTCAATCGCGCGGTGTGCTTTATACCGTGTTTGCCGCCAATTTTGTTCAAATGTGCCAACAACTCATGCGGCTTCATTGCTTCACCACTTAGGCTAACAGGGTCGCCATTCACGAATTCAATGTCTAGATACTCAGCCGCATCAGGTGCTTTTTCAGGGCTAACACTCCAGCGCCACATGGACTCTTCTGCTTCCGCCGCCGGTTCTTCTAGGTGGCGGCCTTCGTATGAGATGTGTAATAAGTTGGCATCCATCGAGTATGGGCTACCACCTTGTTTATGCTTCATATCGACAGAAATACCATGTTGTTCAGCATAAGCCATGAGTTTTTCACGGCTGAGCAAATCCCACTCACGCCATGGGGCAATAATATGAATGTTTGGGTTAAGTGCATAAGCACCCAACTCAAAGCGCACTTGGTCGTTACCCTTACCTGTTGCACCGTGTGAAATAGCATCAGCATTGGTTTCACGCGCAATTTCAATTAAACGTTTCGCAATTAAAGGGCGTGCAATTGAAGTGCCTAGTAAATACTCGCCTTCATAAACCGTATTGGCGCGGAACATCGGAAACACGAAGTCACGTACAAATTCTTCACGCACATCATCAATATAAATATCACTGTCTTTGATGCCAGCCGCTTTTGCCTTAGCACGTGCAGGCTCTAACTCTTCGCCTTGCCCTAAATCTGCGGTAAACGTGACGATATCACATTGGTATTCGTCTTGTAACCACTTCAAAATCACTGAAGTATCAAGACCGCCAGAATAGGCTAAAACAACTTTTTTAATCTCTTTTTTAACGTTACTCATTACTTAAACTTTTCCTAATAGTAAATATTCCATCAAAGCTTTTTGCACATGCAAGCGGTTCTCGGCCTCATCCCAAACAACTGATTGCGCACCATCTATCACGTCAGCCGAAACCTCTTCACCACGATGCGCGGGTAGACAATGCATAAATATCGCATCTTTGGACGCTACACGCATCATGTCACTGTCCACTTGCCAATCAGCGAAATCACGCATGCGCTCTTCATTTTCCGCTTCAAAACCCATGCTGGTCCACACATCCGTCGTCACCAAGTCGGCGCCTTTGGCAGCGTCCATGGGGTCTGCAAAGGTTTCAAAATGATCGTGACCATACAAGTTAGCGCGCTCTGGCTCAACCTCATAGCCAGGTGGCGTTGAAACGTGTACATTAAAATCTAGCAATTCTGCGGCTTGCAACCATGTATGGCACATGTTGTTGCTATCACCTATCCACGCCACCGTTTTACCTTTAATTGAGCCTTTATGCTCAATATAAGTAAAAATATCTGCCAAAATTTGACATGGGTGATATTCGTTAGTGAGGCCATTAATTACTGGAACGCGTGAATTAGCTGCAAAGCGCTCAATAATGTCTTGTTCATAGGTACGAATCATCACGATATCACTCATGCGCGATATTACTTGCGCAGCGTCTTCAACGGGTTCGCCACGGCCAAGTTGAGAATCGCGGGTATTTAAATAAATTGCAGAACCGCCCAATTGGTGCATCCCCGCCTCAAATGAAAGGCGAGTACGCGTGCTGGCTTTTTCAAAAATCATCACCAATGTACGGTCTTGTAAAGGCCAATATTGCTGATAAGCTTTAAACTGCTGCTTGATGATTTTAGTGCGCGCAAAAACATGCTCTAACTCATCAAGCGTTAAATCATTAAACTGTAAAAAATGTTTGATAGCCATGTTGATTTTTGCGTAAGTATTATAAAAATAAACGCAACTTAATTTGATTGAGATAAAAAAGTTTTGATTAAATGCGCTAAACGTTGCACTAACTCTTGCGCTTCGGCTTGACTCATTATTAATGGTGGTAATAGCCGCACCACTTTTTCAGCAGTCACGTTAATTAGCAACTTTTCAGCCAATGCCATTTTTACCAATTCTGCGCAAGGTCTATCCAGCTCAATACCTATCATTAAACCCGCATTACGAACGGTCACTACACCTTTAGTTTCGCTAAACGTAGCTAACAAGCCTGTACGAATAAGATTGCCAATTTCTTCCGCATTCTCGCGTAATTTTTCTTGTTCAATAATGTTGAGTGTTGCAAGTCCAGCCGCTGTTGCCAATGGGTTGCCGCCAAATGTGGAACCATGCTTACCATAAGTAAATACCACAGCTGCCGCGCCACTGGCTACACAGGCACCTATTGGCACGCCTGAGCCTAAACCTTTTGCCAAGCTCATCACATCGGGCTTGATTTTTGTATGCTGAAATGCAAACCAAGTGCCAGTGCGGCCTATGCCAGTTTGTACCTCGTCTAACATTAGTAGCCAACCGTTCGCATCGCATATTTCGCGCAAGGCTTCTAAATAACCGCTCGCATCTTTTGGTATATTAATGCCGCCCTCGCCCTGCACTGGTTCTACCAAAATAGCCACCACGTTATTTTTACGAGAAGCCACTTGCTTAACCGCTTCTATATCATCATAGGGCACACGCACAAAACCACTCACCAGCGGCTCAAACCCTGCTTGCACTTTTCGATTTCCTGTCGCAGAAAGGGTGGCCATGGTGCGCCCGTGAAATGATTTATCCATCACGATGATTTCAGGTGTTTCAATACCCTTGTTATGTCCATAAAGCCGCGCTAACTTAATTGCCGCTTCATTTGCTTCACAGCCTGAATTACAGAAGAATACTTTATCCATGCCAGAAATTTCACAAAGCTTATCGGCCAAGTCGGACTGTTCAGTAATATTGTAAATATTAGAAACATGAATTAGCCTAGCCACTTGCTCGCTAATGGCTTTTACTAACTTTGGATGCGCATGACCCAAACCATTCACTGCAACGCCGGCTAATGCATCTAAATATTTTTCTCCATTAGTATCCCAAAGCCAAACGCCTTCTCCTTTAGTAAAGGTGACCGCTTGGCGTGCGTAGGTGTTCATTAAATGGTTAGACATATGAATACAATCTGCAAAAAAATAGCTTGACTAAAACCTTGCAGATTAGCTTAAAACCCTAATTTTGGCAAGGTTTACATATTAATCAAACGGCTATTTTTAACAATTATAGCTTGAAAAAGTAAGCCTTTTCGGTAAAATCCATCCCTCAGTGGCTTCTACAATTATTTAATTTGCACGCTTTGACATCGCAAAACTACAACACCTCTTTCGCAACTCATCTAACTCCGCAGTTGCCTGTTGCCTGTTACGTTGACGCTAATATTTATGCGCTAGAAGAGCAGCATTTATTTAGCAATGCCGCTAAGTATCGAGGTCATTCACTAATGACGCCTAAAGTGGGCGATTACCATGTGTTGAACTGGACCAATGAGTCACAGTCTCTAATCCATCAAGCTGACGGCATTTTTCTTACAAGTAACGTGTGCAGACATCGGCAGGCCATCATGCTTAAAGGCAAAGGGCATGTGCAAAATATTGTCTGCCCTTTGCACCGATGGACCTACAATCTTGCTGGTCATTTGTTAGGCGCACCGCATTTTGAGCAAAACCCATGCTTACACTTAGAGCAAAAGCCGCTTATCAACTGGCAAGGCTTGCTATTTGAAAAAAGCCGCGATATTGCGCAAGATTTAGCCAAGTTAGGATGCAAGCAAGATTTTGACTTCACTGGCTACCAGTTAGACCGCGTGGTGATTGAAGAATACAATTTCAACTGGAAAACATTTATAGAAGTTTACCTTGAAGATTACCACGTGGGGCCATTTCACCCAGGGCTTAATCAGTTTGTCAATTGCAACAATCTTCAATGGGAATTTGGTGAGCACTATAGCGTTCAATCAGTTGGCTACAGGCAATCAGATAACGCATCTGAGTCTGCCATTTACAGAAAATGGCAGCAAGAGCTTCATCAATATCATGGCTTTAAGCCACCAAAATACGGGGCAATTTGGATGGTGTATTATCCATTTTTGATGATTGAATGGTATCCCAATGTGTTGGTAGTGTCGCACCTCATTCCGCGCGGCGTAGATGCCTGCACTAATGTTGTTGAATTTTTTTACCCTGAAGATATTGTGCTGTTTGAGCGTGAATATATTGCTGCACAACAAGCGGCTTATGAAGAAACGGCCGTTGAAGACAAAGAAATATGTGAGCGTATGCACCAAGGCAGACGAGGTTTATTTATGCATGGTATTGATGAACGTGGGCCTTATCAACACCCAATGGAAACAGGCATGCAGCACTTTCATCAGTGGTATCGCACACAATTAGAAACACATCTTGCCAAAGTTTAACCTGCCCAATCTAGGTAGTTTTTGGATGCTAGTGGCAGCTTTAGGCTTTGCCATTATGGGTGCCTTGGTTAAAATTGCCGCACAAAAATTTAGTAGCGCAGAATTGGTGTTTTATCGTTCCATTTTTGGCTTAGCTGTTATTTGGGCCTACATCATCATCAATAAACTCCCCTTAGCAACACCTGTACTCAACAAGCAAATGTCACGCGCATTCGTCGGCTTTGCTTCATTAGTGCTATTTTTTTATGCCATTGCACATTTGCCTTTGGCCACAGCCATTACATTAAATTACACCTCACCATTATTTTTAGCGGTGCTCACCCCTTTACTATTAAAAGAAAAACTCAAAAAAACCTTAATCGCCACATTGTTAGCCGGCTTTATTGGTGTGCTAATTTTATTAAAGCCTGTTTTTTCACAACAAGATTGGTTAGCCGGCTGCATGGGCTTGCTATCTGGCATGGGCGCGGCTTGGGCTTATGTTCACGTTAAACAATTGGGCAAACTCAATGAACCTGACTGGCGCACGGTGTTTTACTTCACTTTGGTTTCGACAATTGGCGGCGGAGGTTGGATGTTATTTCACACATTTACCAGCATTCAACTACAAGACTTACCTGTTTTATTAGGCTTAGGCTTTTTTGCTACCATTGCCCAACTTGCCATGACGCGTGCTTACCGCACAGGCAATACGCTAGTAGTTGCGAGTTTAGCCTACATTACCATCGTATTAGCGAGCTTGTTTGGTGCTTTATATTGGCACGAATATTTAAATTTTGAATCTATTTGCGCGATAGCTTTGATTGTATTGAGCGGCGTTGTCAGTGTGCGGACTAGCACACAAAAAGTGTAAAATTAAGTACTATTAGTTCTTTTGCAACAAATAGTTACATACATTGCTTAAATTGTTTTATAATCAACTCACACAAACATTGACGGTGTAAAAAATCATCATAATGCTTTTGCGCAAACTGATTAACCCGCGTTTTTACCAAAGGCTCACGCTATTGTCGGCAAGTGTGATGCTGTACGGCTGTTTGGGCGGTTCTATTGGTCAACAAGTATTGCAATCCATCTTGCTCAAGGGTGCAGATAAAGCCACCGAAGCCGCTATTGAATCACATGAAAAGAACGCAGCATTAGAAGCGCAAAAAAATACTGTAATCGACCCCTACACACTTGCTTTTGCAAGTGCTGGCTTTCAAGAAATAACACCGCAAGTTGAGCCGCTACCTGAAACTGCGGCTGAAGCTGAGGTAGAACTTCCTTTAATACAAGAAACTAAATTGGTTGAAGTGGAAATATGGAATTTGCTTGCGGGCGTGGAAAAGCTCGACTTGCTTGAAAAGGCCAGACTGCAAGGCAGTTTACAACTGCCGCCTAAATCTGAGTGGGCAAGATGGCAAATTGCCACTGGTGCGGCTAAACCTCAACAAACTGAAATCATTTTTTTAATTCCACCTGAATTAGGCAAAATGCGCAGTGGTCAAAAAGCCATGGTGGAAGTGCTTTCAGGCGGTGAATTAAGCATGGCACGTTATCACCTCAATTAAACGTTATTACAACTTCAAATTAAGCTTATTTTCTAGGTCAAAATTCCCTCGAGAGAAAATAATGCCTCTGGAAGCCGCATGGTAACTGGCTTGCAGAGGCATGAAAATGAAGATGTATTAAAACAAATGAATAAATCGTAATTTATCGCACTTAAATGCACGTACAAATTAGGCGTCTAGCAAGCCACTACGCATCGCAATCAAGGCAATTTCTGCTGAATTATTGGCATTTAATTTTTGCTTAATATTATACAAATGTGTACCCACCGTGCGTGGGCTTAAAAACAGCGTTTCGGCAATTTCATTAGTGGTTTTGCCTTTGGCTAGCGCCATAAACACTTCAAATTCGCGCGGTGAAAGTACATCTACAGGGTTTTGTTCACCCGATAAATTCTGAATTGCCATTTGTTGCGCCACGCTCGCTTCTAAATATTTTTTCCCAGCCGCAATGGTACGAATGGCTTTGATCATTTCTTCTGCCGCGCTGCGTTTAGTTAAATAGCCCATTGCGCCCGCGTTAAGCACGCGCTTTGGATGCACTGAGTCTTCATGCGCTGAAAGCACTAAAATTTTTGCTGTGTTATCTTTGGCTAAAATGCGCTCTATCGCCTCTAATCCGCCCATGCCCGGCATGGTGATGTCCATCACCACTACTTGCGGCTTGAACTCGACAAAGCGTTGAATCGCTTGTTCACCACTCTCGGCCTCTGCAATCACTTTAATTTCAGAATCCGATTCTAGTAACATTTTAAAGCCCATGCGCACCACCGCATGATCATCCACTAACATTACATTAATTACGCTCATTATTCATTTCCTATTGAACTATAGGGATGGTGATTTCAATCACCGTGCCTAATTTGGTTTCAGAAACCACATTAAATCGCCCATGAAACCCCTGCACACGCTCACGAATACCGAGCAACCCAAAATGCTGACTTTGATCCACTAGGTCAATATTCATACCTACACCATCGTCCATAATGCTTAGCAATAGCTGTTGGTTGACGTGTTCATTCTTCAGGGTCACCTCAATTTTGCTGGCATTGGCATGTTTAAGCGCATTATTAATGGCTTCTTGCACAATGCGGTAAATATTAATATTCATGGTTTCGCCCAGTTGATCAAGCTCGCCTTGCAAGTTTAAACTAAAAGAAATGGCTGGTGAGTTCAGTTGCAGCATTTCGTGAATACCAGTTGCATAAAGCTTGGGTGTGGGAACATCAAGCCCTAACGCGGGCGCGCTTTGTGGCGGGGGATACCAATATTGGTAAGGCGTTTGAGAAAACTAATGAACACTGCATTCATCATCCAAGCTGCACAAGCCATTGCGCAAACCATTTTAGCCAACGAAAATACGCTAGAAGCACTAGACCGCGAAATTGGCGATGGTGACCACCTTATTAATATGAAGCGCGGCGTAAATACCATCGTAGAAATGCAAGCTGAGCTCGCTACACTTGCGCCCGATGTCGCACTGAATAAAATCGGCATGAAATTGCTCAGCACCATTGGCGGCGCGTCTGGCCCATTACTGGCCAGCTTTTTTATGGGCATGAGTAAAGTATTAAAAGAAAATGGCGATGAATCCACCTTAAAAATAGCTGCTGCCTTTGCCGCAGGCGTGCAAGCGATTATACAGCGCGGCAAAGCGGGCATTGGTGAAAAAACCATGCTCGATGTGCTCATTCCAGTCTCTAACCAATTTGTGCTACTAGCTACGCAAAACTGCGATATTAAGCTCATTTGCGCCACGCTCATTCACGTGGCAGAGCAAGGTGCGTTAGCCACCAAAGACTTAATCGCCACTAAAGGTCGCGCGGCTGGCTTGGGCGAACGCGCGATTGGGCATATTGACCCAGGGGCTAAAAGTTGTCAGCTCATGGTAGAAGCCGTTTGTAAACTCATATTAGAAAGAGATGTGAGTAAATAAAACCTCTCGAGGATTTTTTATACCTCTGGATGCCTTATGGATACTGGCTTGCAGAGGCGCACTTAAGAAGATGCATTTATTTTAAGGATAAACCATGAAAAAATTTGTCAATCAAGTGGACAATCTTTTAAAAGAAAGTCTTTCAGGCTTTGCCGCCGCACATCAAGATTTAGTGCAACTTAATCTTGAGCCCAATTACTTAACCCGCAAACTAAAAGCCACTAATA